AGAATTTGTTCTCCATGTAAGTACTTGTTCGTTATCCTTCAGAAGATTGGAGACTGACGAAAATTAGGCTTGGGGTGGATTAATGATTATACATTGAGCATTGAGTCCCCCATACAGAATTTTATTGTTGTTAACACCATTTGATCAAAAAAAATAGGAGAGATGCCCTCAAAAAAAAAAAAAGTACACACTTCCGATTGTAAAATAAATAAGTAAACAGGATGTAATGTATAGCATAAGGAATATAGTCAAAATATTGTAACATCTTGGTATGGTGATAGCTGGTACCTAGAATTACCATGTATATACATGTTCAATCACTGTGTTGTACACCTGAAACTAATGTAATACTGTGTGTCAACTACCCTTCAATAAAAAAAAATTATCTAATAAACAATATATCAACTTCAAAAAATAGTAACTCTTGCACAAATTCCCATTGCCTGATTTGATTTAGGAAATAAGTGAATTGTTCGTGCTAATTTCCTATTCTTGCCACCAAGAGTCCAGTAGAGGAGAAAATATAAGAAAATGGTTAGATGCCAAGTGAGAATTGTCAAACAGTGCTCAAAGGTTAACTGAACTGTCTTTAGTAAAGCCCAAAAATAAAAATGCATCCACTTCCATACCTTGGAAAGGGCCAAAATGCCAGGCTTCCACGTGAACAGGATATGAAATTTCAAGATCCATTCTATGGAGTAAGACCAGGAAGCAATTAACACCAGGTAAACCAGGAAAATTGGAGTGGATATCAGGGTATTTGGGGTTCCATTTTTCATAGGTGCAGTATCGGTATTTTGGCTGGTTTCCTAAATACCTTTCCTTTTCACTGGCATCAGTCTGCTGAGACTAGGGTCATACTGTAAAATCAATCATGATGAATATTAACCAGGGCATACTCTGCTAAAGCCAGCCCATCAACAGAATGATCAGAAACACAAATCAAGTAGGAAGGCTAAGAGATTTGTGTGTGCGATACTGGAATGGCCAATACAGTCTATTTCAAAGGTAGAGTTAGCAGTGGTATTCCCCACGTCCCTGTGGGTCATACACAGCTGTTTTCATAGGGAAATTTGTTTCACTTAGAAAACTTCTCTGTGCTAGACACACATTTTAATTTGAACTCGGTAGTTGTTTTTTGTTTTTTTGGGTTTTTTTGTTTGTACACATTGTTTTTCTTGATGACTTTTGGGATAAATCCTCAATGGGAATTTTCAAGACTTTTCAAGACTCGTTGGCAAGGGGGACCTACTTATGCTCCTTTCGTCACATTTAAGGTTCTGCCCTTGAAAGCTGCACCTACTACGGGAGTGAGATAGCCATAGAGAAGGGAGATTTCCTCCCCTTTCTGGCCTTTCCCTACTTCAGAGAGACTGAATATATAACAGACAAGGCCCAAACCATATATAAAAATAGAATTCTGACCCACAACGCACAGCAACCTTCCCAGGAAACCAATCTCTTCATCTGTAATAACCAGCCAGAAAGCCATCCTGCTATAAGTTAGACTCGTGGGAACTCAGGCTGTTAGCGCTACTACAATCCAGGAAACCAAACAATAACCCCTATAGCAATTGGCCTATCACGGCCAGGACTCGATTAATAACTCACAGCTTTCCTAATTTTGTCTCTCTTTCCAACTTAGACCCAACCAAAGAAAGCCAAATATGCAACCCTAACCAATCAAATATATTTCACATCTGTTTAGCCCGCCTCCAGTCTACCCATGCCAACAGCCTTCAGTCTATCTAGCTGGTGTCCTGACCAAAGAGCATTTTCCTAGTCTTTTCAGAAAAAACTGAATTCTTACAAAAAAATAGATCTATGTTCATTTCTCTTTTTTTTCTGCATGTTACCTCCATCTGCTGAAACCCTAGAAAGGAGGAAAAGGTTATTCATACTTCCTTTCCATAGATACCAGAGGTACCTCGCATCTGAATGGGACACCATTCATTCACACATTCAGAAAATATTTACTGAATACATACAACATGCTAGGTAGTTTTCTAAATTCTGGAGATAAAATGTTGAGCAATAACAGGTTTTTGAATGACAGACTTTGTAACTCTTGAGGAAAAAATCCCAGGGCAAAATACGTCTAAAAACTAAATCAGTCAAAGGGAGAAATAAAGTTAAGAAACTCATTTATTTCTTACAGTCATGCCATCTCTTTAGACCAGGCTGCAGTGGAAGAGTGTTTCAGCCAACCTCTATGGTCCAGATAAATGCCCTTGTGATTACCTACTGATATATAAATGGGCTACTTCTCTCCATCCCTTGGAAACACCTATTGATATGGAGATGCATGAAAGCCAGGTGAGAGATTCTGGAAATACTGCAATTTTACAGACAGTCCACTCCTCCAGAAATCTTGCTTCAAAATCTACATGTTCCGCATTTTCCACAATGGCCCCTGGGTGAGAAAACTGGAGCATTATAACTAGACTAATAACATACAATAGGAACAGCAATAAAATCATGATAATCATCAACCCAGAGGCTTCAGCTACATTCAAATTCCAAGGCAGATTAAGCCCATAGCCCACCCAGTCCACAGGCAGTCAGTAGCTGAACAGGTAGAGAGTTCACAGCAACCATCATGTGGCAGCTGCCACCAGGGGGTTGGCCCAGGCCACAAGGAATGTAGAAGAAAATAACCTTAAGGGTGGTAAGATACATGCTTTAATGACACCAGCACAGGCAAATCTTGTGCATCAGGTAGGATACATGCAAGAGAGTAGTCCTGTGATAGGGCAGTGGCAGGAATGGGATCTCATCCTGGTCTAGTTTACTAGACGATCACGCCCCTCCCTGTAGGAGTTACAGATGGGTCAATATATAGGGCTACAGGAGGTACATGCATTGGCCAGATAGATAAAATGTCCCTGCAAGATGCTCTTACCTCCTGGACTTTTCAGGTACACTACCATGACCTTTGGGGGCCACTCTGCTGTTACTCCAGGAATATACACATGACCAGCTTCCAGGCCTTTCCCCCAAGGTGCCAGAAGGGCCAGCCATTGCTTATCTGTGTGTCAAAATGCCCAGGGCCATGTCCATTCAACAGTGTCTCCAGAGATAAATGCAGTAGGGGCTGGCAGCAGGATGTTGCTCTGCTGGCCATATCCTAGTTTCAATAACTCCACTTTGGTTTGCACTGTTGTATAGAAGAAGCAGCAAGGTGTGTTAGCATTTCCACAGGGCTCAAGGCTCCTTTTCAGGGCTTGTCATTCAAATGCCATAGCACTGTCCCTAAGTGAACTGACCAGCACTATAGACTATTGGTATCTGACTTCAGGACAGATTTCAACAAACCACTGTATCTCTCTATTATTCCTGCCCCAGCAGGGTTATATGGTCCATGAAACTTCCACTTTATCTCTAATTGCTACACCCATTCTTGTTATGCATGTCCAGTAAAGTACATGCCTTGATCACTCTCAACCACCTGAGGCGGGCCATAGGCTGCAAAGGGATGCTCTAGGTCCCTCTTGGTGGTTTGCTGATCTACATGATGTGCAGCAAAAGAAACGAGTAGGCCAGTAGCTGTATCCATGCAAGTCATGGCATACTGATATTCTGATATGGGCAGAGGCCCAATATAGTCAATCTGCCGCCTGATAAAGGGTATTAGCCTCTCTACTATTGTCCTATGTTGCTGAGGGACTTGGTATAAGTCCCTCTTAGAGCACACAAGGCACTCCTTCCAGACTCTGCTGACTTCTTCAAAGGTCAACAGCAAGTCCCACCAATGGGCTACAGCCCACATTGTCTTTTGCCCCACATGCAACACTGACGTTACCATTGGGCTACATCAGATGCAGGCTTTCCTTCTAACAATCGCACATGGGCCAATGTGTCTGCTTCATCATTCCCTGGGGATGCCAAAGGCAGTCACATGATATACAGTAACAGTCTTAGTCTGACCAGAGGCCCATAGGTCTTGCCACAACTCTTGCCCCCAAAGGGGCTGGTGACCAGTCATCCAGTTAGCATGGTACCATGTTGGTAGCCACAGAGTCAAACTCCAATAGACGGCCCAGCTGTCAGTGCAGACAACTATGGGGGAGGGCTCCTGGGCGATCATGAGCCATACTGCCTGCAACTCAGCCCATTGGCTGCTCTCCATCCTCCATCCATATTGTCTCAGTCTTAGGATGGAAAGCAACAGCCCTCTACTTTGGGGGCTGCCTATGACTGGAACCATCTGTGTACAAAGCATCTTCAGGTATAAGGGCTATTCCATCCTGATAATGACTCTTGGCTACCAATGGCTCAAAAGTAAGTTCTTCCTGCTTTCCACTGGTATACACCACTGACCCCAGTAAGCATTGGAGTTTTCCACTTAAGGGACTATTAGAGAGGGTGCTACACTGTTGTAAATGTTGTAAATATGCACCCCATTTGGCCAGTATAGGTGTCTGTGCCACACCACTCTGTGTCCTTTGGGTCCAGTCTCAACAACTACCCTGTGATGGGATAGGTGGTTATTACCTTGGTCAGAGCTGTTCCAGTGATGGGCCAGCAAGGCTTTGTACACAGCAGCCAGTTGCTTCTCTATCAAGAGGTACCAGACCTCTGCACCTTTCCATAGCTGTGACCAGAATCCAGTGGGCTGGCGTGTCCGTTCAAGCTGCTGCCAAAGACCCCATCCATAACTATATTCGGTTACGTGAGCATCTAGCTCACAGGGCCTCAATGAGTCCATTATACTCACGGCCTGTACGGCCTTGACTGGTAGCTTAGCAGCAGTAAATGTAGCTGCACATGTCTCATCCCAGTCCCACCTGATGCTCTTTCATGCCAACTGGTATAAGGGCTTCAGAATTTGTGCCAAGTGTGGGATAAACACTCTCCAGTAGCCTGAAATACCCCAAAACTCTTGTTAAGACTGCCACAGTGGTAGGGGTAGGGAAGACCTGAACCTTGTCTATGACTCTGTCAGGAATAACTAGTTTTACCCAACAAGACAACCCCCAAGAATTTAAGAGACAAACCAGGTTCCTGAACCTTGGTGCTGTTCACAGCCCATCTATTCTTCTGTAGACATTGCAGCAGTCCAGGGACTGCCCCTTCTAAATCAGCAAGAGAATCAGATGTGAGCACAATATCATCAATGTAGTGATATAGCTCCACTATTTGCAGTTTCTTCAATGTAGCCAAGTCCTGGGCTACAAGTCTGACAAATGGTGGGACCGTGGAGATATCCCTGTGGAAGGACAGTGAATGTCCACTGCTGGTCTTCCCATCTGAAGGCAAACTGTTCCTGACATTCCTGTGATAGGTCAATAGAGAAGAAAGGTCCACAACATAATGATACATCCCCAGTTCATGACAGTGTGTCCATAAGGGCTGCTACTGAGGGCACAGCAGCATGCAAAGGGGGTGTGATATTATTCAATTCCATATAGTCCACAGTCATACATCCGGAGCCATTGGGCTTTTTCACTGGCCACACTGGGCAATTAAAAGGACTACGAGTGGGGTTTATGATGCCCACCCTCTCCAACTCCTGTAGAGTCTCTCCAAATTTCCTTGTGCCTCCTAGGCTATTTATACTGCTTAGTATTTGTCACTCACCTAGGTACAGACAGAGCTATAGGTGCGTGCTTAACACATCCCCTCAATATGCCTTTACCACATGTACCCTCAGTCTGAACTCACCTGCAGTGGTCTGTAACCCAGGCCCTGCAGGATATCCACCCCCAGAATATATTAAGGTATGAGAGAATTGTACACAGTATACTCCTTTGGGGATAAATGCCCTATGCCCAATCAGATTTGGGCTTTCCTCACTCTAATTGCCTTACCCCCACAGCCATCTATCACAGCAGGGGTCCCAAGAAAACACTCAGGGTTTCCATTAATCAAAGAATATTCAGCTCCTGTGTCCTCAAAAACCAGACACATTGTACATTCACAGGGGACCAATGAATTGCTAATTCTACATGGAGCCTCTGGTCCCCACCATGTCACCAAAGGTAGGGCCTTGACTCTTCCCTCAGTTGACCACAATGCCCAATCGTCATCCTGTGGGGGTGAGGCCCAGGCAGAGCCTGAGCACTGTCCCCCAGGAAGTCTTGCAGGGACACAGGCTGGACATGGGGCTTCGCCTCTGGCTTCCATGTCCTGGACCTCAGGACTGAAAACGCTGCTCTGGCTTTAATTGGTGCCACAGTTCTAATAAGATCCTATTGTGCTGCCCATAAAGTTTTTCTTTCACTACCCCAGCCTTTTTCAAATCAACCCCGCATCTGGGTCCTTGAGACCTTCATAGGGCCTTTTGAACCTCTCCTTTCAGTCGTAGCCCATACTTCCTTCCATGCTCTTATTGTTTCAACCTCCTCCAGATCTGCTAACATAAAAATAGCCTCACTTATGGGTTGCCCTAGTGGGGGGCAAGAAAAATCAAGAGACCCAAAGAGAGATGGAGGAGCTGTATGGAGCACCATATTTCTCATTACTGCAGTGAACAACTCATTGTGACCCTGGGGGTCCATATTATAGATGTTACTCTTCATGCCCAGCTCTCATAACACCTGCCAGAGCTCTGCATCCATTTTCCAGCTAGTGGGTAAGTATGGTAAAACACCCTGATTAGGCCAAACTGCCCTGATGCCTGCTGTCAACCAATTCAGAAGCGTCCAATTCCCTGAGGTGTGACAGGCATTTTGCAGCCACTGCTGGAGAGAAGAGTGAGTTGTCAGGGAAGCCAGTCTACACATTTCAGAACCTGACATAACAATGTTTTCCACTCCCATATCCCAGAGATGGAAGGCAGAGGTCTGATATCAGACACTCATGGTCCACCAGCTTCTCCTGAGTATAGGGGGGGAGCACAGAGTGCTCCACAATCTGGGGAGGGGTTGGCTCCTCCCCCTCAGGAGCCCACTGTTGTTATATTTTTACTTTCTTAATTACAGCAGGGCAGATCCTTAATAGGGAGAGGCTGGTGCCTCAGGCGATGGCTTCAGCAATAGATTGGTTCTCGGCCCCAGCCCCCCATCCTCTCCCCCTCCTCCCGGCTCCTCCACCATCTCCGGAGCTGAAGGCACTGCTCTTTCCTCCCCCTCCCCCATGACCTCCTGCAAAGTTCACTCTCCTGTTGCCTCCCCCCCTCACTGCTGCTAAGGAATCTCCCAGGAGCACAACCCATCCTCTCAATAGCTATCTCTCTCCCTAAAGGGCATCCCATAGGTCATTGCCCAGCTCCTCCAAGCGATGCTGAAATGTGTCTTTCTCCTGCCAAATTCTCTCTCTCCTCAGTAACCCTTTCCACTATGTGGACGAAAAGAGATCCTGCAATGCCAGCTGCTACATGGCCATTCATACCTCTAGGCACTCTTCTATCAGACGGAGGACTAATTCTGCAGCTTCCAGAGTCTCCACCCTTC